ATGGAGACAGTAAAAAGATCAGTGGTTGTAGGGGGTTGGAGGGAGGGAGGGATGAATAGGCAAAGCACAGGGGATTTTCAGAGCACTGAAAATACTCTCTATGGTACTATTACGGTGGACACATGTCATTATACACTTGTTAAAATCCACAGCATGTACAGCAGCAAGAGCGAACCCTCATGTATGCTATGGACTCTGGGTGACGATGATGCATCAATGGAGGTTCATCCATTGTAACAAATGTCCCGTCTGGTGGGGGTGTGGTGGTTAGGGGGCTGTGCTGTGTGTAGGAAAAAGGGGTCCATGGGAACTCTCTACTTTCCACTCAATTTTGCTGTGAACATGAAACTGCTCTAGGAAAATAAAAGTCTATTTTTTAAAATCCTGGGGGCGTCTGCAGGATCAAAGGATATATGCATTTAAATTTTTAATAGATATAAGAGCTTTCCAGAACTACTGTGGCAATTTACATCAGCCTTGCCTATTTTTATACCTCACTCTCATCAATACAATATAGTTGAACTTTTTTTTTTTTTTTTTTGCGGTATGCGGGCCTCTCACTGTTGTGGTCTCTCCCGTTGCGGAGCACAGGCTCCGGACGCGCAGGCTCAGCGGCCATGGCTCACAGGCCCAGCCGCTCCGCGGCACGCAGGATCTTCCCAGACCGGGGCACGAACCCGTGTCCCCTGCATCGGCAGACGGACTCTCAACCACTGCGCCACCAGGGAAGGCCCTATAGTTGAACTTTTTGATCATCACTAAATTGTTAAAGGAATAGGGTATCTGCTTGTCATTTTAATTTTCATGTCTCATTATAAATTAGATAGAACACCTTTTTTTCTTTTTTTTAATATGTCTGAGCCATTTGAATTTCCTTTTGGGTGAAGTGCCTGTTCATTTTCTTTGCCCATTTTTCTATTTGGTCTGCACCTAATTTTATAGTTAAAAATCTACAAATTGGAATGGGAATGATGGTGTTAAGATCTTATATTTTGGATTGAAAAATACAGTTATCATATACCCTGCAGTCAACCTTGCATCTTTAAGCATGAGGTGAAACTAGAACTGAATGAGAAGAGTAATAGCGTATGGGTACGTTTTCTGTATATCTGGGTACAACCTCAGCCTCTTAACATGAGAAATAATACCATACCTAAATGTTATAAAGAGCATAGAATCAGGTGCACCGTCTAGTTTCATTTATGCTGTCTTTTGTGGAACAGTCCCGAGCTACATTTCATTAGATCATGCAAGGTTCTTTGTGTAGCCTGAAATCTGGACAGCTGCTGAACATACTTTTTGGTATAATAAAGTTAAGCACTGTACCCGATGTGATCTGCAAACTGACTATTTAAAGTAGCCTGAATAGGGACTTCCCTGGTGGTGCAGTGGTTAGGACTCTGTTCTCCCAGTGCAGGGGGGCCGGGTTCCATCCATTGTCAGGGAACTAGATCCCACATGCATGCCGCAACTAAGAGTTTGCATGCCACAACTAAGGAGCCCACGTGCCACAACTAAGACCCAGTGCAACCAAATAAATAAATAGATAAATATTTTTTAAAAATAAATAAATAAAGTAGCCTGAATAACTCAGTTGCTTTTTTGGCCAAACATGAGTAAGTGGACAAACAGTGAGCATGTGTTGCAGTATCAGACGAGATACTGACCTTTGTATTACTTTCCTAGAGCTACCTTAATAAAACAAAAACAAACTGGGTGTTAAAACAAATTTATTGTCTCATGGCTCTAGAGGGTAGAATTCTGAAATCAAGGCTTTGGAGGGCCACACTCCCTTTGAAACCTGTAGGGAATCCCTCCTTGCCTGTTGGCAGTTTCTGGTGATTTGTTGGCCATCTTTGGTGTTCCCTGGCTTGCAGCTGTATAACTGCCGTCTCTGCCTTTGTCATCACGTGGCATTTTCCCCGTGTGTCTCTGTCTTCACATGGACACCTTCTTATAAGGACACCCTACTCCATCTCCAAAATGACCTCATCTGAACTATATCTGCAATAACTCTATTTCCAAGTAAGATCCCATTCTGAAATACTGGGGTTTAGGATTTCAACATACCTTTTTTGGAGGGACACAATTTAACCCATAACAACCTTTCTCTAGAATCTTTTGGGAGAAGGTGAGAGAGACGAGGTAAAAGCCAAAGAGGCTGACACCTTCTACATACATTGCATTCAGCCTGCCTGAGCCATATCGGCATTTGCTGTAAGCACAGGGTGGATGACTTACCAAAAGCTTAATTTCAGAGGAACTTACAAAGCACTTCTGCCCCACGTGGATCCTAGTCCTTTCGTTTGTGATTCACTGAACTGTATGCTCCACCTTCAGCCATCACCCTGCCACCCTGTCCCTGACAGGACGAGCTGCAAGCTGCAGAGAAAAAGAAATGAACTAAGAAGGGTCAAATGATCCCCCATTAGATCACAGATCAGACTGCAGGCCGGGGAGACTTCTGTCTGCTTCCCGTGCTATTGTGCTCTGAGGGGGGCCCCCTCCTGTTGTCCACCTTGTCACCCTTTGAGAGCGACAAGGACCCACACATGGAGCTGTTCCTGAAGTAGTCTCAACTGATCTCAAGTTTCAGCCAAAAGACATCCTTTTTGAATTCGACACCTACTGGCCGCCTAACCTATTAAGCATCTATTCACCAAGGGCCAGATTTTACTACTTGGTTCAGTCACCCCTCTGCCGAGAGCCCTTTCTGTCTCGCTGTGGGTAGCATCTGAACTTCTGCTTGTTGTCTCAGAATTAATGTGCAGCCTTTCCTTGCTTTCCTGAGGAATTTTGTACTACTTATCCACTCATATCTAAGTGGCTTTTTCCCTTCTTTCCCAAAGTCACCTTAGAGCATTTCTTGCCCTTTTCAGTGGCCAAGGAATTTTTATACTAACTTCTAAAAAGGCAGTGAGAAGTTATCCTTATTTTAAAATGGGAATACACACACACACACACACACACACACACATATATAAAATTGCCAATATATATTGAATATATATATTTAGAGCAGGCCACACTTTCACTTTTTTTTTTTTTGGTGTGATGACTATATAAGTCCAGATGAGCCTTCAGCCAATTATTATTCCCTGCTCCATTCCCCCATTGTATTTTTTTTTTAAAGAGCCACGGACGTTTTCTTTAGATTCTTTGCTAGTAAATAAAAAAATTCTTGCCTTGAATATCATATGATAGCTGGGTGGGGTTTTTTGGTTTTTTTTTTAAGCATGACAGTTTTGTCAGGGATAATTTTCAGATTATCAACTGACTGTTAGAAATGCAAGCAACACAGAGAGTTTTGGTTTTTTCATCAGCTACACTTCAAGCATTTTTCTTTTGACTCCAGGCCCCAGAGATTGCTGGCTGAAAAGGCCTGGCGGACTTCATTCCAGGGAAGGCAGAAAGCAAAGGCCAGTCCTGCCTTCCCCAGCGATCAGCAGCAGCAGTTTTCTGGAAAGTAGGAAACAGAAAAGAAGAGGAAGATTAGATTTGAGTTAAAATTGTCACTTTCTCTCCAACTGGGAGAAGGTCATTCTCTGACATGATGTGGGGTATGAGGCACTGTATCTCTCTTGTTTGCAGAAGTCACCTAACAAAATCTTTCCCAGTAGGACATACCTACTCATAAATCAGCAGCGTCAGCTTCAATCACAGCTTGCATTCTAGAATGCAGACACCAGGGAGAGGCTGACCTAAGGTAACCTGGGGGGACTCCATGCCCCCCTGGCTCTCAGGTTGGAATTTAGAGGATGGCATGCTTCCTGCTGTCTTCACAAGGGCATTTAGAGAGCGATTTAATCCCGCATTATCTTTCCATTATGGGTACTTCTCCTCAAAAGTCCTACAGTCTTTATCTACCAGGGCCCCCAGTAGGGGGCGGTAAGTGAGGCACTCTCCTAGGGGCAAAATTTAGGGGAACCCTAAATAGCCCCAGTAATCAAGATAAATGGTATTTTAACGCAAAAAAATTAAACAAACAAATTGGCAAATAAAGCTGCTAACTGCTTGATTTTGGAAATAAGGCTTCCAGGGCTGGGATCAAGGTGAGGAGAGAGAGGTGGGCTCGTACAAGTGCGGGGGCAGATCCTGCATTTGATATTTTGATATATTGTTCATTATGGGTTTTTTGCATTAATTTTGGCCTTTAAAAATTTTTTAACTAAAATACTTATCTTGATTATTGACTTTTGTTTTCGAATCCATAAATACTGCAACTGAGGCAATTGCCTCTCACTGGTCTCACCCGAGTCCCGGCCTTTAAAATACTGACGAGTCAACAAAAAGCTATCCACCTTCCCGAACCACGACTCTTAGATAAGGACCAGGCTCCGGGGTACAGACACCCTGCCGTGAAGTCTCCGCGTCCCAGTGGGTTTAGACCCTCCCCTCCTCCTTTCCGCGCTCGGGTATTAAAACACTGCGCGTTCTGCCCGGCCTTACTCGGAGCGGCCGGCGCGCCCGGGCCACGTCCGCTCCCGCACGTCTGTCCACGTTAAGAGATGACCCCTTCCCTCTCAGAGACCCAAGTTTCACTCACCGCCAAGCCCGTCCCGCACAGCGGCCCCCAGGCCCGCGCACTGCCGCAGCGCGCTGTCCGCTCTCCTCTTTCGGGTGCCGGGCCCGTGTGATCGCGCCTGCGCGCTCCGCCGTGCGCGGGCGTGAGAAAGGGCCCGCGCCGCTCCCAGGTTCTTCCGGAGGGGCAGAGGAGGGCGAAACTGCTCCCCGCGCGGCAGTGCGCAGGCGTAGCGGCGCGCGGCGCTTTCTTCCGCCTCAGCCACTGCGGCTCCGGCGGCGCGCCAGTCGCTGGGCTGCCCGGTGGGGGGCGCTGCGGGCCGGGGCGCCCGGGGGTGGTCGGGGCCGGGCTAGCCGCCCCGGGGCGGGGCCGCGCGGGCCGGGATGGGGCGGGCGTCGGGGCGGGGGTCCAAGCCGGCGAGCGGCGGCGGCGAGCACAGGAGAGGCTGCGGACCGAGGCGCAAGGTTCGGACGCGGCGCCATGCGCGGCCCCGCGGCCTGGCCGCTGCGGCTGCTCCTGAGGCGGGGCCCAGCCGCCCGCGCCCCCGGGACCCGGCCGCCGCCGACGCTCCTGGCGCCGGCGCGGCTTGGGGACTCGGGGCCATCGCTCCTCGAGGGTGGCGAAGCCGCGCGAGCCCCGCGGTGCCGGGCGGTCCGCTGCCCGGGCGGGGGTCCCGGCAGCCCCGCGGGCGGCGCGGGCCTGGCGCGGCTCCTGGCGCTGTGGACGCGGCCCTCCGGGCCCTCCAGGTGCGGGGCGCTCGCCGGGCCCGGCGTCCCCCGGCTCCCGCGCGCCGCGCTCCCCGGTGGCCCAGCGGCGGTCGCGCGGGCCGGGGGCGAGGCTTGGCTGCGCGAGCCGGCCTTGCCTGCGGCCGCGGCGACCCCCGGACACGACCCGCTGCAGCGGCCCGTGGCTGCCGGGCGCTCGGAGGCCCAGAAGCTCCTAAGGCTGGCGCAGCCCGAGCGCCGGAGGCTGGCAGGTAGGGCCCCCGTCCCCTCCCCTCGGTCACCGCGACCTTACACACGCGAGGTCCGGGGCCGCCGAGAGGGGCATTGCGGTGGCGGCAGGGGGACCCGGGGCCACTGGAAACGGTGCGGAGGACGGGGTGCCTCTACCTGGGCGTCCCCACCTGGAGCGCGGACAGAGCGCGCCTGCTGTAGCGGTGTGGAGCCGGCAGGCCCGCCGGGAATCTGCTCCCAGAGCTAATGTTTGTTTTCTTATCTTGATACATATTATACAAATGGGGTAGCATCTCAGTGTTGCAGTTTTCGGGTTTGTTCCGTTTTTACTTTGCTGGCGTTCTCAGAATGACCTGGGTTTTTTCCCCATATCTTTGTAAAATTAATCCTAGCCCCAAATAAACCAATGTTGTCATATGTGCGTGCTTCAGGCAAGTTTTTTAAGCAGCCAACAATATTTTTACTGTGTGAAGCAAAGCAGTGTAAACTTTTCAGGTTTGTCCCCTGCTTTTGTCTCCTGGGTGGTAGGCAGGAAGTTACTAAGTTCTTATCAGAAGAGTCAACACTGGTCGTGATCAGTGATCTGTAAACTCCAGAAGTGTTGAGAAACTGTGACTCATAACCCAACTAAATCATAATTAAGTAATTTTTAAAAAGAAATCAAAATGAATATTTTTAGGGCTTCCCTGGTGGCGCAGTGGTTGAGAGTCCGCCTGCCGATGTAGGGGACACGGGTTCGTGCCCCGGTCCGGGAAGATCCCTACATGCCGCGGAGCGGCTGGGCCCGTGAGCCATGGCCGCTGAGCCTGCGCGTCCGGAGCCTGTGCTCCGCAACGGGAGAGGCCACAACAGTGAGAGACCCGCGTACCGCAAAAAAAAAAAAAAAAGAATATCTTTAGAAACAAAATCCAGATAAACAGATTTTTGTATAGCTTGTCATTTTAGCCATAAATGGAGAAATGTTTAAATGCAAGGGCCTTGTAAGATCTCAAAGGTTTTGAGACTTCTCCAAGTCTTCGTTTCTTTAATAAATATTGAGTCTTATTGTGTGCTAGGCCCTTGGGTTCCACTGATGAGCAGGAAGAAGCATGGTTCCCGCTCCTGCTGGGGCTTGCAGCTTAGTGGGGGAGAAACATTGATGAAAAGATATGTGACTGGAGATAAAACTGCACATGTGATGAGGGCTTGCAAAGAGGGCTTGTGAGGTTCTTAGGCTTGAAAGAGGAGAGAATCCCACCTCTTTTTGTTACAAGTCCATTGCTTTAGGAAGGATAGTCCTAGAGAGCTATTTGTGATGTAGGGCAGGTTGGTGCCGTGGAGGAGGGCAGTAGAGTGGGAACATTTATACCTCTCATTGACTGTTACAGTTTAGGGGGCTTCTTGGTATTACTGAGGTATAAAGAGAACTATCTCATCGCTCAGTTGGTTGTGCGTGTATTTTTATGGAAATAAAGTTTTTTTCCTTTTTCCTCTTTTAAAAGAAAATTTTGAGGCTAGGAGCTCTCACTGGCCTGTGAGCTGCTTGGGAAAGGGGCTGTGTCTGCCTCATCTTTCTGTGTCTAGTCCTTAGCCTGTGTGTGTGTGTGTGTGTGTGTGTGTGTGTGTGTACTTTTAAATCAAGAGGCCAAAAACAGCTGAGTTGAAGAGAAGGAATTCCAATGTTAATTTGTTAATTTTTAGGAAAAGGAATACAAAAATCCTTTTTCAAAAATTCCGCTGTATGTTTGAATAACAGTGTTTTCATCTGTGTTCAGTAGTTTGGTGAGCATGCTGCCTGAACTGTGTGACCAGAAAACTTTGGTCTTAAGTGATTTGTGTCAGAAACTTTAAAAACAGGGTCCGCCATTTGAAATGTTTATAGGTATCTGCTGAAAACAGTCATTTCCATTTCTCTTCTAAAGGAACCACAGTCCTCGATGCTCTCCGCGGCCCCTTCTCCCTGTGTCTCACTTTATGTAGGAATTTGCAGATATCTTCCAACAGCTGTGGCCTACAAGGTTGCTCTGCAGTCTTTTTTCACTGATAATTCTTCGTCTTATCACCTTGGTCACAGGAGTCTTAAAAGATGGAGGAGCTCACTGCGGAGCCCCTGTGGGCTGATGGGATAAGAGGTAACTGGTCAGAGCCGTCCTGCTGGGCCTGGCAGATAGAAGCGGCTGCTGGGGCTCCCAGGGAGTTAGAGGCAGGCTGCGCCGTGCGTGGGGTTGGGAGTTAGGAGGGGGCCGTGAGATGCCGATGGAGGGTCTCTGTGCGGCGGGCCCGGTGCAGGGGAGCTTGTCTTGTTCACGCTTTGCAGGCAGGCCCCTGGTTAGATGTGGCAGGTGCACGTCCAGCCCTCCACCCCCAGGGTGTTCACTTAAACACTGATAAGGGCCTGTGTGGTTGAGAAGAGGACAGTTCTCAGAACCTGATGCCCGCCAGGAGCTTTTGCTGCATTTGTAGTTACATTTTATGGAGATAGACCTTGACGTGACCAAAATGAACAGAGTGGTGAAACCAGTGGGTGCGGTAAGCAAGGAGAGGGCGGAGCATGTGTCCTGCAGCCAAGTCGGGACAGGGGGTCTGACAAGGACGGCACTGGTGGGACAGTGAGGCTGAGCCTCCGCAATGGAGACTGCTCCAGAAAGCCCTACGGAAGTACCACGTTGCAGAGAAAACATGAACATTCTGTATCTGTGCTGCGAAATGTGCTAGTCAGAGTTGATTCAAGACGGAAATACACACCAGATTTTGAAAGGACTTAGTATGGAAAAAGAATTGTGAACTTTCTTTACTTTTTAATGTTCATCGCATGTTGATTAATATTTTGAATATATTGGATCCAAATATACAAATAAAATACAGTATTAAAATTAATTTTACCAGTTTCTTTTAAATGTGGCAGCTGGAAGATTTTAAGTTCTGTGGGCGGCGCCCGTCGCGTGTCTGCTGGACAGGAGCACCCGATGCTCTGGCCTTGCCCAGACCTTTGTTCTCCAGGTCACTCCACGAGCCTGCGAGGCTTCCTCACCCTCCGCTTCCTGCTGGCTGTCAGCCCCCTTCACCTCCTGCCCTGGCCGGCTTAGCTAGGTGCCAGGCTAGCTCAGCCTCCAACCTGCACCGGGCCTCTACTCCTTTGTTCTATAGACACAGAAAGCGCCTTTCCTCCTCTGTCCCACCCGTCAGAGAGTGGAGCTGCTGGCAGGGACACGGGTCATTCCTGACGCCTTGCGGTGACAGCTGTAATATAGATAATAGCGGATACTTACTGTTTACTAGATACTGGGCGGCACTGGGCCAGAGGCTTTACGTGTGTGTGTATGTGTGTGTGTGTGTGTGTGTGTGTGTGTAATTTCTCCTCACAACATTTCTGTGAGGGAGGGGTTCTTTTTATTGCTATTTGACATATGAAGAAACTGAGGCACAGAGAGTTTGAGTGACCCACTCAAGGTCAAACAGCTAGATGGCAGAGGTAGGGCACTGACCCTGTCAGTCCCAACTTCAGAACTGACCTTCCCAACATGCTTCCCAAATCTGAAATTCTCAGGTCCTGTAGAATCTAGTTCTTAAAAATATCTGCAGTCCTTGTCACTGTCCGTATCCCCTCTGCCCCTCCCCGTTTCACCCCAGTTCCCCTCTCGCCTGGATCAGGGGAGCCTCAGGTCCTTTCTTTTCACTCTGCTGCCAGAGTGGATCACGTAAAATGCAAATCTGACTGTCTCACTCCCCAGCCTGAGGCTCTTAGGCCTGCCTTGCTGCAGAGTCCCAGTTCTACTTTAGAACCCGGAGCCTAGTATGCCTCCACTTTATTTCTCAGTACTTCTCTGCACCAGAGTCCCTGTTCCAGCTTTATCCTGCAGCCTTCCTGCTCCCTGGCTGCCCTCACCCCCAGGCGAGGCCCCTGCTGTGTTCTTGGCTTGGAATGTGAGAAGACGAAGAAGACAAGCTTTGTCTCAGAATGTGGTTCTTCAGTGTATGAACTGGGTGACCTTGGGCAAGCTCCCTCACCTCTCCGTGCTTGAGTTTCCTCTCTGGAAACAAAAATGAGGGTGATAAAAGCATTGTTGGAGAGAGTGCATATCAAACGCTTCAGAGAGTGGTGGGTGGTTGGTGCCTTAGTACTTGAGTGACACGGGGGTAGCTGCACCTGCCCAGCACAGTGAGCAGACGAGTCATTAAAAGATCTGTCCTGTATCCAGTGGTGATAGACATGCTTGAGAGCCTCCTCCACCCCCCAGACCTGTCCATCCAGGAGCTGTCTACCGGCCACAGCCCTTCTCCCAACAGCCTCTGTTTCAGGTTTTCCATCCCCTTTCTTTTGGAGGAGATTTCTCTTATTCTTTGAACGCTGTGATGCAGTAGAATGAGGGTAACGGAAAGATACTTGAAGATACCTGTCAAGAGACAGATGACAGTTGCTTGGGACCCGTCAAGCAAGGATAGGAACAAGCAAGATGCTTAACCATGGAGAAAAGGTGGGGAAGAGTTTCCAGAAGGATTATGGTATACTTGGCTTGTCGGGTTTGGGGAGGAATCAGAGATGATAGTTGTGGCGCAAATCTACATGATTCATGAATGTCCGAGATGGTGTTATGTAGTAAAACCTTAATTAACAGGAATCCAGCTAAACCAACGCTGAAAAAAAAAATTTAACTTTTGTATACATTCAACTTGTAGAAGAAAGAGGCAAATGGCAATAAGACAAGCTGTCAATCGTTCTTTGTTTTTGTTTTTTTAATAAAAAGGAAAGAGAGGGGAGATCCTGGAATGAATTTTGATTCAGCCCAATTCCTTTCTCTTTGTAATCATTATCATTACTGTGTAAGAACTAGTGTGTGTTCATGAGATACAGGTTCTTATTTCGGAGTTGTAACTTTGAGTTTGAAAACTAGAGGCGGGAGGGAGAGATGGACCTTGATGGCACTCTGCATACATTACACTTACTGAAGTATTTGCCAAAGGGAAGAAACAGACCAGAGAAGCTGGCTGCTGATGACAGATGAAACAGGCCTTTCGGGTTAACCCCCGGCTCGCCAGGCCACTGCTTTCTGGAGCAGCCCGTTTGCCACGACCGTGCCCTGCAGAACCCGAGCTACACTTGCCTCCTACACCCTTCGGGCTTCCAGTCCCTCTGAGCACTGTCATCAGGAACACGCGATTTGAAACAAGACCCCGGGTCTTAAAGCAGAAGGAAATGGCCCTTGGCCAGGTTCACGTTATGCAGTTCGGTTGTGATAAAAGGGGTTTTCAGCCAGTCACATGGGCTTTCTGGCTCTGGTAAAGGAGTCATTGCCACACACGGACTTCCTGAGCCACCAGATCTTACGATTCTCTTTAGGCTGTTGTCGAACTCTGATACGCTTTCATGCCTCCTTTGCCAAAGTTCAGTTTATTTGTTCATTCATCCAACAAATATTTATTGAGCTTTTCCTATATACCTGTCCCTGTAGGCAGTGGGGATACAACAGTGAACAAAACAGACAGAAATCTTTTATCCTACTGGAGAGAGACAGTAGACAAGTGAAGCGTTGGGAAGTGCTGGGAGGAGAACGGAGGGCGAGGCTGCTGTGTTTGGGTCTGTATTAACAGATAGGACTGCAGAGCAGGCCTCCTTGAGGGGAGGCCATTAGAAGACCCCCAGGAGGGGAGAGAGTGTGTGCAGTGTTCCCGACTTAAGTCAGGCTCACATTCCTCCTACAGCTCTGTTTGCCAACTGAACAACCGGTTCACACTGAGTTCGTTCTCTACTCTTTTTATTAATGTTTTGTGAAAGTAAAGCCTTTCACTGAAGTGTGAGCATTAGGCAAGACACAGATAGAGAAGCTGTTTGCAGGGTGTTGGCAGCGCCCATTCCCCAGGGCTCAACCCTCATTGTGTCCACTTGGGGTTCTCGCCATTGATTGTCCAGTGATGGAGCTAGCTGGGCCCCAAGCGGGCCCAAACTCAGCAGGTGCACAGTGGCACGCGCCCTGCCCCAGCCACTTGATGCCACTCTTCGGAAGGAACCTCTGTTACTTGTTTCTTGCTACTCTCCTGGAGATACTCTGTGCATTCATGAGCTTGAAAATCAATAAGCAAAAAAGTGCCACAGATGTTAACATCTGTGTCCTGGGCTTTTTCACTAACAGTGTATCTTGGTGGATGGCTTCATGTCTCTTCCTATAGACTCACCTCGTTCTTTTTAACGACTGCATAATATTTATAAAATAAATGCTCCATAATTGATTTAACTTTTCTCCATTAATGAACGTTTAGGATATTTTGAATCTTTTGCTGGGATAAGCAATGTCATAATGAACACCCTTGAGTGTACATTTTTTGCATACACATATGGGAGTGTATCTGTAAGTTAGAATCTTAGAGCTAGAATTGGTGGATGAAAGGGAATGTGCATTTATGTTTTGACTGATAAGATCACATCGCTCTGCCATTGCAACTGTACCAGTTTGCACACCCACTAGCAGTGTAAATGCTTCCTTTCCCACAGTTTTACCAACACCATGCTGTCAAATTCTTTGATCTTTGCCAGTCATTAGATGAAAGTGTAGTGTAAATATGCATTCCTCTTATTAGGAATGTTGTTATCTGATACATGTTGTTCCTAATTGGATTTTCTCGATATTTTCTTTTCTGAAAAGATACTGTGTCCTGTGTCTTTTTTGTTTTTAAGCCGTGTGAACAGTTGTGTTCTTACATGTCTTATTATCATGCTCATACTCTGGTACTTTATCTCCCAGAGCAATAATATTAAGAAGGAACGTATCACATGTGTAATGGCTGCCCATAACTGCTTTCCAAAGGTTCAAGTGTTTTGAAATATTAGACATAATCAAGAGCTTTACCTGCATAGTTTGATCTTCAAGCTAAGATACAGTTAGATGCCAGGAAATAACAGTGTGTAGCACGAATGTAGGAAAAATGTCATCTCGGGAGGGAGGCCAGAACGGATTTTTGTGGTTAGCTGTCAGTTACTCCTGAGGAAGAAGAGAGCAGCAGACCAGGGTAAAGCAAAAGCCGTCTTGTCTGGGTACTTGGGGACGATCAGTGCCCTTACAGTCATCCTGCCTGATTTGGCCCCAGAAACTACTCGGTTCTTCCCTTTAGTCAAGGGTCCAGGAGCTAAAGGGAGGAGACTCCCGGCATCTGAGAGCATCACATGATCTGAAAAGTTTATTCGGGAAAGAAGCGTGATGAACTCAGCACCCTGCCCCTTGGCCGAGGCACCGATGAACCGGAGAGTTGCTTGTGTTTTCCAGCTGCAGTTGGGTTTCTGACGGTGTCCAGTGTCATCACCATGTCCGCCCCCTTCTTCCTGGGGAAGATAATCGACGTCATTTACACAAACCCCTCTGCGGACTACAGCTCCAGCCTGACCCGCCTCTGCCTGGCGCTCGGCGGCGTGTTCCTGTGCGGCGCCGCGGCCAACGCCGTCCGCGTCTACCTCATGCAGACGTCAGGTGCCACGACCCACCTCCTGGGCCACATGGGGTGGGGGTTGGGGGGGCGGATCTCGTGGGTTCCCTGTGCTCCGGCCCCCACCTGTGCTTTCCGGCCCCTGTGCTCTCTTCCTCCACCGCGTGGGGGACAGGGCCAACACTGGGCTGGGGATTGTTGTAGATCATGTGCTCTGTGCTCAACCTGCCTCTCCCGTGAATTGGAGCGCAGTCGCCTGTGTGCCTTCCGGGAGGTTTGAGTGAGGCGGCCGCAGAAGCCGGGCCGTGCCCCGCGCTGTGCCGCCCCTGCAGGCGGAGCCGGGCGATAGTGGTCGGTGTCACTGTGAGGCCTGCTTGTTAGTAGGCGGTGACACCACAGTGACGCTAGAGCCCGGCACACCCGACTCCAAGTCGGTTGCTGGCCATTTAGCTGATGAAATACTCTGTAGATAAGTAACCAGTTCTTGCTATTCGAAGTTAAATCCAGGAAAGAATTGCGAAGGAGAAGCAAAATTAGCTTTTGAGAAGTTAAGGTCGTAAAACTTCTCTGTAAGTTATACTTTACGAAAGTCTCTTGGTCACATTCCGTTTACTACTGTATCCTGTCCTCGGCATCCTCGGGCTGTGGGCACCGAGAGGAGATCGGTGCTGGTCAGCAGCGCGTGCCGATTAGTGCGCCCGGGCTCCCACCGCACCCAAGCCGGCGCAGACAGGCCTCCGGGGCTGCGGCTCAGAAGAGGCGCCGACCTCGGGCCGCGCGGCTGCGTGTTAGCGGCTGAGCCCAAGCCGATGCCACTGCTCTTTGCCTTGCAGGTCAGCGCATCGTGAATAGGTTGAGAGCTTCGCTCTTTTCCTCGGTTCTGAGGCAGGAGGTCGCTTTCTTTGACAAGACGCGCACCGGAGAGCTGATCAACCGCCTGTCCTCGGACGCGGCCCTGCTGGGGCGGTCGGTGACCGAGAACCTCTCGGACGGGCTCAGGGCCGGAGCCCAGGCTTCCATTGGCGTTGGCATGATGGTATGTCGGCCCGGCTGCCGGGGCGCCCTGCGGCCGGGGCTCGGCCCGCGCCCTCTCCTCAGGCGTGAGGTGCGCTCCGTTGAGCTGTTCTCATCGCTGTCGCAGAGGCCGCGGGGACCTGGAGCAGCTGCTTCCTTGGTGGCACCTGCGCCTTCACTTCTCCGCCATGAATTCCTGTCTGGAGAACGGACCGTTGGCATTTAGAAAAACTTACCTTGTTGCCTGGGTTTTCCGAGAACGTGTGAAAGTGGTGGGAGGGCCCTCGGGTCCTGAGTGTGGGTCAGAGGAGGGGTGTCAGTTCCGTCCCCAAAGGCAGGAAGCTGCCACTGCCGTCTGGATGGGACAGAGGCCTCATTTCCTCTCCTCCTCCTATCAGGAGCAGGTCCCCTCCTGCACGCAGGCAGCTCTGCCCTCCCTTAGGGGAGCCGGCTCCACCCAGGCCCGTGTCCCTTCCTTAGCTGGGGGCCTGAGCCCAGCTCCCTTCTTCACACCAGTGGTCTCTTCAGACCTGCGCAGCTGCCTGGTAGGAATGTAGTGCAGGCCACGTGTGCCAGTGTACATTTTCTAGTAGCCACGTTTTAAAAAGCAAAAAGAGGGAATTACCTGGCGGTCCAGTGGTTAAGACTCCGCGCTTTCACTGCTGTGGGCCCGGGTTCAGTCCCTGGTCGGGGAACTGGTACTAAAATCTCACAAGCTGCGTGGTGTGGCCAAAAAAAATTAAAAAAAAAAAAAAAGCGAAAAGAAAGGTGAGGTGAGATTAATCTTAATAATTTTACTTAATATAAACAATATTATCAATTCAACATGTGTTTAATATAAAAATTGTTAGATATTTCAAATTATTTTTTCATATTAAGATTTCAAAATATAGTGTGTTTTCTTTTATAAATTTATTTATTTTGGGGTCTTAGTTGCTTAGTGCAGGTAGTTGCAGCAAGCGGGGGCTACTCTTCGTTGCGGTGCACGGGCTTCTCATGGCGGTGGCTTCTCTTGTTGCGGAGCATGGGCTCTAGGCGCACGGGCTTCAGTAGTTGTGGCTCGCGGGCTCAGCAGTTGTGGCTCGCAGGCTCTAGAGCACAGGCTCAGTAGTTGTGGCACACGGGCTTAGCTGCTCCACGGCATGTGGGATCTTCCCGGACCAGGGCTCGGACCCTTGTCCCCTGCATTGGCAGGCGGATTCTTAACCACTGCGCCAGGGAAGCCCCCAAAATATAGTGTGTATTTTATACTTACGGAACACTTAAATCTGGATGCTAAATTTTCATTGGGAATACCTGATCTGTATTTAGATTTCATAAAATTTGTGGTTGAAAAAGTATATTAACATACCCAAATTCCCAGACATTCTTAAAACTTTACCAATAACTAAATAGAAATGGAGTATCAGTTTTTAAATTTAAATTTTAATTAAAACTAAATAAAATGTAAGGTTTAGTTCCCCAGCACACTGGCCACATTTCAGGTGCTCAGTAGCTGTGAGAGGCTGTCATCTTAGCACAGTTCTAGACCCCTAGAATGAGGACGGTGACTGATCTTTTCTCACAGGTGGAAAAGCTTGGGTTTCTGTCCTGTGTCCCACAGGGCATTCAGTCCAGAGCAGAAGAATATGTTGAGCCTGTAAGATCTGACATACAGAGTGGAAGACAGCTTTGAAATCTTATGTATGCCCAGCCAGGAGAGAAGCAAAACTCTGGGAGAAGGGCCCTCCTGAACTAAAGCACCATTTCCAGATATTAATAGTCCAGGGCTCAGGAAGAGCTGGGAACCTCTTTTTGTAGCAGGTGAAGAGAGTCCCAGTGTAGGGCAGGTGGCTCATCAGGGGGAGGGAGCCTTAGTACCTTGAGCTGCATAGCAAAGTACCACACCTGGGGGCTCAAACAACAGAAGTTTATTTCCCGTGGTTCTGGAGTCTGGGAGTCCCAGATCAAGGTGCTGACAACGTAGGTTCGTTCTGAGGCCTCTTCTCTTGTCTTGTGGGCAGCCATGCTCTCGCTGTGTGCTCCGCTCACAAGGCCTGTCCTCCGTGCTTGTGGGGAGAGAGCTGACTCGCTGGTGTCTCCTCTCTTAAGGACCCGAATCCTATCAGATCAGGGCCCCCGCCCTTATAACCTCATTTTGCCTTAACTCCTTCCTTAGAGGCTCCATCTCCAAGTCCAGCCCCATTGGGGCTTAAGGCATATGAGTGTGGGGGGGACACAAACACTCAGCTCATAGCAGGGCCTCATAAGGGGGCATCCCCTGGGACCTGGCCTTTAGCTCTGGAGGAACAGAAGTGTGCTTTGTTTCTCATGGGCTCCCTGGACCTGACTATGGTAAGCCTGCTCCCAAGAACCTAATGATGTCTGTACCATACTGCCAGTTTGGTAATTTACGTTCGGGGGTCTCCCTCCCACCATTAAGATGTGTGTCCTGATACTCCAGCGCTCCTTGTATACAGCACCCTGCAATATTCTTCGGAAGGATATTTCTAAGCGTGGAACCGGAGCACGGGGAGGGAGGGTTCGGAGCCCGTCCCCAGGGCCTGGGGGGCACCGAGGGATGCTCCTGCCCCCCGTGCAGAGGGCTTGCTTGGGCTGTGCTGAGACCTGCCTGGGTGCCTCGCTGCCCCTGCATGTGTCCTGTGGCCACTGCCATCCCAGCGTCTGCTTGTCTGCTCAGGGTGGGTCGTCCCATGAATCAAGGTGCTGAGCTCATTGCTGCCTCAGGGCCTCTGTGTACTTGCTCTTCCAAGACCACATGACCCTGTGGTTTCTCTCTCTCTCTCTCTTACCTGTTTGCTCTCCGACTCTCATCTTTGCTGTCCCCTTGGATGAAGCTCCATGTGGGTCAGTTATCTCCCAGGTGCCTAGAATAGTGTTCGCTGCATGACGGCATTAGGCAACCAATGAGTAAATAAGTGAATGATTGCGTGCTTCGTCCTTTACTTTACATTTCAGTCTGCAGCTTTTCCTCAGCATTTTAGGAGAGCCTTGTACTGATGATACTATTTTATAATTAATAATTTGTCGAAGAAATGCTAGTACCATTTAAAATACAATCACCTAATTGCAGGGTTGGCTACGGGAAAACCCCACTGTGTTACTTCCCCTTCGAGCAACTCCAGTTGTTAGGAGACTCCTCCTTTTGTTGAGTCTAGATCCATCGGACTGCGATTCCAGTCCTCTGAGCCGCGGAAACAGCTCTAACTTGGTTGTTACACCCCCTGCCAAGTCCTCTTTCAGCTCTGTCATGTGATGTGGGTATTTTTGGTCTTGCTGCCACCTGAGTCATTTCAGTGAGATATTGCTCAGGTTGTTCAGAGCCCTTGATCTGGACCTGAATGCAGAACTCCTGGTGAGGTCTGGCCAGCGTGGAGCAGAAGGCGGCCTCCTTCCTCTGCTCACATCCTGCCCCCCTTCTCTGTCGGTGAACAGCGTGGCCTGATTTACACAGCACTGGTCCTGCGTTGTGTCAGTAGTGGTGCAGCGGTGGAGGGTAAAAGAGCCCCACCCTTGCTTCAGCAGCTCTCTGTCGGTCACTCCTGTGTGGCAGGCTGAATATTCATGGGGCTTTGTGAAGATTGAAAATGTTTGAAAAGTTCTACCAAAACTGGATGTACGATTTTGAGACAGCAACCTTTAAGCCTGCCTGTTAATTTCAACACACGCACACACTTAGAGCGGGCAGTGAGAATGTCTTGCTACTCTGTGTAACACAATACCTTTTGGCTTTTGTTTTTGACAGTTTTTTGTCTCCCCTAATCTGGCCACTTTTGTTTTGAGTGTGGTGCCTCCAATATCCATCCTTGCTGTGCTTTATGGCCGATACCTACGGAAACTGACCAAAGTCACTCAGGACTCCCTGGCACAAGCCACTCAGGTAAAGGCCCCTCCCTGGTGTGGTCTCCACTTGAATGAACTCAGAGCCAGGGTATCGGTGGGCAGACCCTAAGGGATGTGCCGAAGCTTTTCAAAAAAGTACTTCCTTTTCCTTACATTAGCCCCCCGGATCTTAGCAACACAAAGTACTCTGCCTTCTAGACTAGATTAGTACCCACACCTCAGCGTTGAGCCCACTTGACTGTACATTGTGTGAACTTCTTACTGTCACTATTTCTTATAGGACGAAAAAGCTAATTATATTCTGAAAATAGTTTCTGGATGATACTCTGTCTTTCATTAATGAATAAGGGTAGCTTTGTAATGCTATCCAGTATTGTCTTTTTTAAAAATTAAAAATAACTTATATTTTCATGTTACAAAACCATGCATATTTATGAAACTAAAATTTTGAGAATATAAAGAGAAAAAATAACATGCATAATTCTAGCTCTCAGAATGAATGTTATTAACATTTTGGAGTCTATCCTTTTCATCTATCTTTTTCACTACGTAAAATATATGTCTTTATCTATCTACCTACCTTCCCATTTATCTCTTTATCTACCTATATATATGATGTGTCTATGTATAAATATATATTTGTTTCCAAAAACAGGATTGTTTATCATATACTCTACTTTGTAATCTATTTTTGACGTAGTTGCGTATCATGAGCAGCTTTCTATTGATAGTATCTTAAAAATGAGAACCACATTTTAATTTTGCCTCCCTCGAAATATATGTATTATTTCTCCCAGCTAGCTGAGGAACGTATTGGAAATATAAGAACTGTTCGAGCTTTTGGGAAAGAAATGACTGAGATAGAGAAATACACCAGCAAAGTGGACCATGTGATGCAGTTAGCAAGGAAAGAGGCATTTGCTCGGGCTGGTTTCTTTGGAGCAGTAAGTAGATCATTTTGGAAAGAGTGGAAAGGGTAGACGTTATGACTGGGAGGGGTTTTTATTCTGTGAATCTTGCCATACGTAGAAAATACTTCTCCCTCAAGAGTAAGAATTACCATCCTTAAAATATTTTTGTGAAGGAGGAGGAAAACAAGTAAATGTAATTAAAAGAAAGGTGGTGAGACCAAGACAGTGTGGGATTGGGCACTGATTCTCAGAGTGTGGTCCAGACCAGGCATGTCAGCTTCACCTGGGAACTGGTTAGGCACACCAGCTCCACTCTGGATGTCCTGAATTGGAAACTCTTGGGATGGGGCTGGCAATCTGTGTTTTAGCCCCAGGTCATTCTGATGCAGGCAGTTTGAGACCCACTGAGGATTAACCAAAATAATCTCAGTGTATTTCAAGAAGGAAGTATAAGAAAATTGATCACGTTGATCACAATGAACTCGGGTAGGACACCGAACTAGAAAATCACCATGATGGCAGATTCATAATATGTTCAAACTGGAAAGAATGTTAGAGGTGATTCAGTAACGGCCGTGACTTAACGGATAGGAAGGCCCAAGGAGGCAGCACTTACAGAGACCACGCACCTAACGCAGGTCAGGGCAGGTGAGCGAGATGCAGGGCTCTAACTTCTCAGTGCAGCCTGCCCAGCCCAACACGGTACAGTGTACTGATTTCCTCCAGTTAGGGAAGGCCTCCTTACTATCATTTTTCTCCTTTGCAAATTGATTAGACTGAGTAAAATAGGAATCTGATGGGTGACTTAGTGTTTAGGTTTCTGTGTTAATGAGATTATTTCCTTCAATACTGTGATATTTCAAAAGTATTTTTAAATTCAGATTAAAACTTACTTAGTATTTTGGAAAAATCTTGCTTGATGGTGAAATGCATAAAGGGAATTATAGGCCATGCAAATGCTTTTTGCATTTGGCGACTTTGGTTCCCACCTGACTTCTGTGTTTTCTTCCCTTGACAGACCGGGCTCTCTGGGAACCTGATCGTGCTTTCCGTCCTGTACAAAGGAGGACTGCTGATGGGCAGTGCCCACATGACAGTGGGTGAACTCTCTTCCTTCCTAATGTATGCTTTCTGGGTTGGATTAAGCATTGGAGGTATATAATTTAAATAGGCTTGGGAATTTACAAATCAAAAATAGGGTTATAGTTTCTGAAATGAAAAGTTAACTTTCCCATTACTCCTCCTCTCATCAATTAACTAACTGCAAAAACCTCTCCTAGAATGTTACTCCAACTTGACTTTGAAAGAAAGAGCAGAGATACAAGTGGGATCCTCCGTGGGGTCTGGAATTTCCAGGGTTTTGCAGGCCCCCCGTAGCTGGTGGAGCTCCGGGTCTCACTGGAGCTCTTTCCAGCTGCATGTAGGGCAGCCTGTTCCCTTTCACCGTAGGATGGATGCTGGGGAGGAAGGGTGGTGTGAACAGACATGTACAGGAACCCCCGTCCTCTGGTGGTGATGCTTCCATGATGGGCAAGTCACTGGTGGGGAGTAAAGTTCCTTCTGTACAAAGTCAGACATGTTCAAAACTAGTGAACAATCACAAATATAAGTGATAAAGTACATGAAGCACAGTTGCTTGCTTTTGTCAAGAGCCTCTCAGATGAGCTTTCATCGTCTACTTCTGAGTGAAGGGAAGCAAGACCCGTGGAGTCTGCGAGGTTTTCTTTTCCGTAGCTTTCCTGAGGCCCCAGCCAGCTGGGAGCAGATGATTTCCTGCTTTGGAAAGGATGGAAAGGTTAGATAAACACTGAAGTCTGGTTCAAGGAGCTCAGGTATCCCATGGGGGTCACCTCAACCCGACACTCTTGTTGTTTTCAGGGTTTCAGGGTTTTCTACTGGTTAAAGGTATAGACTTTTCCTTAGACATCTGCAGGCAAGTGAGGATGTTTTCTGGACTGAGATTTCCAGAGACTCCTTTAAAAATAGCATAATAGTTCCTCTGGCTGGTCTTGAAGACAAACCTGATCAAGACACTTCCGGGTGCTGAGTGACTTGGGATGCGAGAGGGCCAGTTCAGGAGGACAGAGCAATGACAGTGTTTCTCTTTTCTCTCCGTCTCTTGGGTTGGGCCTGTCGGGCTGTAGGCTCGCACACCCGTGTGGGTGGGTTCCTTTCAGCCTTTTGTCCCACCTCAGAGCGGACTTGTCTGCCGCCACCTTCCCTCTCTGTGGCCTTCCTGTGCACGGTCCACGCTTGACCGCTGTCAGCTTTCCTCCTGCCCCCCCCAATCTTGAGTTTTCTGCCACATTTGTCTTGATCTTTCTTAGTCCCTCTGCTGACACCTCCTTTTTTCCATAGTACTTGACCTGATAGACACTACCTCTGTTTTGGGGTGTTCTGCTGCCCTATCTTTTGTCCCAGGTTCATAGCTGTGTCTTGCACAGAAATTGGTTGGAAACACAGTTCCCGTCCCCTGGGAGTCAGTTACCTCCCCTGGTTACAGATGTGCTGCTGAGGCTTTGTCTGTGCTTGAGATTTCGGGGGGCTCGGCCTCCTGAGCCACAGGCCACCCCACAGCTCTGGTTGATGGTTCCTGCCGTCTGGAGGTGGAGAGAGGAGTGAAGTGTGGGCGGGACTGTAGGGACCTGTTACAGGTTGAGTTGGGTTTTAAATGTTTTTGTGAAGCTCACTGTTTAGAGTGATTCTGTAATGAATCTGCAATCAAGAAATCCTGTTTTATTTATTAAATAAATCAGAATTTTTATATGTTGGTTCCTGCTTAGAATAGATTTTACTGAAAAAAAAAAACCCACAGTAAATTCTACATTTATTTTCTGTTGTGAGAGGATCAGAGGTGCTATTTGAAGGAAAACATGCTGGTTTCTTTTATACCAGAGAAGGCTCTTACATCTTCCTATCAAACCCAATATCTTTTTTTCTTACATTTTTATTGAGGTGAAATTCACATAACACAAACTTAATCATTTTTAAATGTACAGCTCAGTGGCATTTAGTACATTCACAGTGTTGTGCAACCACTACCTCTGTTTAGTTCCAAAGTATTTTCCTCACCTCGAAGAAAAGCCCATACTCATCAAGCAGTCTATACCCGCCTCCCCAGCCCCTAGCAACCAGTTTGCTTCCTATCTGTATGTATTTACTTATTCCGGATATTTCACGTGAATGGAATTATATAGTTTGTGGCCTTGTGTGTTTGGCTTCTTTCCCTTCGCATGTTTTCAAAGTTCACCCACATTGTAGCATGTACTTCATTCCTTTTTGTGGTTGAATAATATTCGATTGTATGGATAGACCACATTTTGTTTATCCAGGGCCATTTTGTCTTTGTTTCTGTTTTCCAGAGTCTAAACTCTTTACTATGTTGTGAACTACTTCCAACTCTTTCCCTTGACTTTTCCTTTCTTCCTTCCTTCCTTCCTTCCTTCCTTCCTTCCAATTAATAGACTTCTTAAAAGAGCAGTTTTAGGGGCTTCCCTGGTGGCACAGTGGTTAAGAATCCGCATGCCAATGCAGGGGACACTGGTTCGAGCCCTGGTCCGGGAAGATCCCACATGTCACAGAGCAGCTAAGCCCGTGTGCCACAACTCCTGAGCCTGTGCTCTAGAGCCTGTGAGCCACAACTACTGAGCCCACGTGCCACAACTACTGAGCCTGAGCTCTAGAGCCCGTGCTCTGCAACAAGAGAAGCCACCGCAATGAGAAGCCCGCGCACCACAACCAAGAGTAGCCCCGCTCGCCACAACTAGAGAAAGCCTGCGTGCAGCAACGAAGACACAATGCAGCCAAAAAAAAGGAGCAGTTTTAGGTTCACAACAAAGTTGAGCAGAAAGTACAGAGAGTCCCATAGACCCCCCGCCCCCCATGCACAGACTTCCCCATTTATCAGCATCCCCCACCAGATGGTGCATTTGTTATAATCGATGAACATACACCGAAACGTTATCACCGAAGTCCAGAGTCTACCTTAGGGGGTCACTCGTAGTGTTGTACCTTCTGTGGGTCTGGACAAACGTATAATGGCATGGATCCACCACTGTAGTATCATACAGAGTAGTGTCACTACCCTAAAAATCCTCTGTGCTCTGCCTATTCATCCTTCCTTCCCGCCAGCCCCTGGCAACCACTGATTTTTTTACTGTCTCCACAGTTTTGCCTTTTCCAGATGTCGTGTTGTTGAAATCATGCAGTGTGGAGCTTTGCACCTTAGCTTCCTTCACTTAGTAGTAGGCATTGAAGGTCCCTCCATGTCTTCTCATGGCTCAATAGTTCTTTTCTTTTTAATGTTGTCTGGATGGACCACAGTATCCATTAAAAGGACATCTTTGGGCTTCCCTGGTGGCGCAGTGGTTGAGAGTCCGCCTGCCAATGCAGGGAACACGGGTTCGTGCCCCGGTCCGGGAGGATCCCACATGCCGCGGAGCGGCTGGGCCCGTGGGCCATGGCCGCTGGGCCTGCGCGTCCGGAGCCTGTGCTCCGCAGCGGGAGAGGCCACGACAGTGAGAGGCCCATGTACCGCAAAAAAAAAAAAAAAAGGACATCTTTGTTGCTTCCAAGTTTTGGCAATTATGAATAAAGCTGCTGTAGACATTTGTGTGCAGGTTTTTGTGTGGATATAAGTTTTCATCTCCTTTGGGTAAACACGGAGGAGCACGATTGCTAGATTGCATACAGTAACAGTATGTTTAGTGTTGTAAGAAATCGCCAGACATTCTTCCAAAGTGGCTGCACCACTGTGCGCTCCCACCAGCCCAGAATGGGAGTTCCTGTTGCTCCACGTCCTCACCAGCATTTGGTGGTGTTAGGATTTCGGATTTTTGCTGTTCTGATAGATTCGTTGTTGTCATAATTTGCTTTTTTCCCTGGTGACGTGATGCAGAGTATCCTTTTATATATTTATCTGCCATGGGTGTATCTTCTTTGGTGAGATGTCTGTTTGTCCATTTTTTAATTGGCTGTTTGTTTTCTTATTGTTGAGTTTTAAGAATTCTTTGTATACAATAGTCTCCCCTTATCCTCGGTTTCACTTTCTGTAGTTTCAGTTACTGGTGGTCAACTGCAGTCTGAAAATATTAAATGGAAAATTCCAGAAATAAGTCATAAATTTTAAATTGCACACCATTCTGAGTAGCATGATGAAATCTCACGCTGTCCTGCCTCCTGCCTGGGACATGGGCCATCCCTTTGTCCAGCGCATCCCACCCGTTAGTCTTTTGGTAGCCGTCTCAGTGATCAGATGCACTGTGTAGTACTGCAGTGCTTGTATTGACGTGACCCTTGTTTCACTTAATAATGGCCCCAAATTGCAAGAGTGGTGATCTGGCAATTCAGATATGCCAAAGAGAAGCCATGAAGTGCTTCCTTTAAGTGAAAGGGTGAAAGTTCTTGATTTCTTAAAGAAAGAGAAAAAATCATATGCTGAGGTTACTGAGATCTATGGTAAGAATGAGTCTTCTGGTCATGAAATTGTGAAGAAGGAAAAAGAAACTCATGCTGGTGTTGCTGTCCCACCTCAAACTGCAAAAGTTACACCACACTGCTTAGTTAAGTTGGAAAAGGCATTTAATTTGTACAAGATACTTTGAGAGAGACCATGTTCACATGACTTGTTACAGTATATTGTTATAATTCTATTTTATTATTAATGTTACTCTCTTACTTTATAAATTAAACTTTATCTTAAGTATGTGTGTGTAGGAAAAAAATACAGTTGACCCTTGAACAACACGGGTTTGAACTGTGAGAGCCCACTTATACAGATTTTTTTTCAATAAATACGTACTGTAGTACTACACAATCCACGGATGCAGTTACAGAGGGCCTGCTACAAAGTTATACATGGATTTTCACATGTGAGGGGGTTGGCGCCCCTAACCCCTGTGTTGCTCAAGGGTCAGCCGTAGTATATATGGAGCACCACGGTTTCAGGCATCCAAGGGGTTTTGGAACGTATCCCCCGCGGATAAGGGGGAACTACTGTATTTTGGATACCAGTCCTTTGTCAGATGTGTCTTTTGCAAATAATTTCTCCCAGACTGTGGCCCATCTTCTCATTCTCTTAACAGTGTCCTTCACAGAGCAGAAGTTTTTAATTTTAATGAACTCTAACTTCCTTATTTTTTTCTTTTGTGGATTGTGCTTTTGATATGATACTTAAAAAGTCATTGCTGAACACAAGGTCATATATGTTTTTCTCTTATGTTATCTTCTCAGAGTTTTATAGCTTGGCGTTTTACGTTTAGACCGCTTTGAGTTAATTTTTGTGAAAGGTGTAAGGTCTGTGTCCTGAATCATTTTTTGCACATGGATGTCTGGTTGTTCCAGCACCATTTGTTGAAAAGTCTACCCTTTCTTCATTGAATTTCATTTGCTCATTTGTCAAAGATCAACTGACTATATGTATGTGGCTCTGTTTCTGACCAATGCATTCTTAATTTAACCTGAAGGTTTTAATCCACCGTATCTTGTATAAATAACCGTATACCTTAGACAGAATATTTGAATTGCATTTTTTCAGCATGCTTACTGAGGGAAAGTGTTACAAGTATATGTTCTGGCAGTTGACATGGAGTGTACTTGGAGTTTAAATCATTAATTAAATCATAGTTCAAAGGTGGCTTTAAGAAGAGGTTGGAGGCTTCCCTGGTGGCGCAGTGGTTGAGAGTCCGCCTGCCGATGCAGGGGACATGGGTTCGTACCCCGGTCCGGGAGGATCCCACATGCCGCGGAGCGGCTGGGCCTATGAGCCATGGCCGCTGAGCCTGTGCTCTGCAATGGGAGAGGACACAACAGTGAGAGGCCCGCGTACCAAAAAAAAAAGAAGAGGTTGGAGTATTTAATATTGCCAAATTTCTTTTCAGTTTTTAGCCTGGTAAAAGTTGTATTTGTTGAGTATCTGAAAGGAGGGTTTGATTATGTGGATATGTCTTTTAAATGAATATTGGGGTACCTTAAGTTCCTTATAAGTATGGGATAAGCATTATATTTTATTTATATTGCTATGTTTTTGAGTAGGTAGACTTTTATGTAACATTGTGATTTGTTTTTTGTGTTTTTTTTGCGGTACGCGGGCCTCTCACTGTCGTGGCCTCTCCCGTTGCGGAGCACAGGCTCTGGACACGCAGGCTCAGCGGCCACGGCTCATGGGCGCAGCCGCTCCGCGGCATGTGGGATCTTCCCGGACCGGGGCACAAACCTGTGTCCCCTGCATCGGCAGGTGGACTCTCAACCACTGCGCCACCAGGGAAGCCCTAACACTGTGATTTTAATTCAGTGGTTGATTAATATGACTATATGTATTTATAAATTCCCTGATCTGACCAAACATTAAATCCTTACTAGAAATAATGAAATTGGAGGAGGAGAAACTGAAGGAACACAAGGGTATGAGACTGAGGGAACTCTGATGGATTCCCAGGTAGCTGCTTCAAATCAGATTCTGTATTAACAGCAGGTTGTGGTCACTGTTCCCAGAGGTGTGGGAGTAGCAGAGGGCCGTTTCCTGGTACCAGTGATAGACGTGTGCCTTTGCTTCTCACCCAGGTCTGAGCTCCTTCTACTCAGAGCTGATGAAGGGCCTGGGTGCCGGGGGCCGCCTCTGGGAGCTCCTCGAGAGAGAGCCGGAGCTTCCTTTCAATGGTGGGTCTGAAATGGGTTTGCTCCTCTTGGCTGGGGTTAAACAAATGTGGTTTCGGACCATGACACCAGCTTCCTGCCCCACTTGGGATGGATGAGCTGGAGCGGGACGCTGTCCCTTGCATGTGGCAGGGACAGGGCCGTCAGCAGGGTGGGCGGTGAGGAAGCACAGCTGCTGGGCTCTGTCATGGGGCCCCAGGGCGTCCCTGGAGGCGTGGGGACTGACCACAAAGTGTGCAGCCACTGTTTACCTCCCTGCAGGCGATTTGCTACCACAGACAGCAGGGTAGAAGTGAGTGCCTCTCAGGGGTGCAGATAGGAAGGGCCCGGCCAGTGCCCAGACTCGTCTCCCTTGGTGCTTTTGACGTTTGTGTGGGCAGGGGGAGGGAGGCAGGAAGAGGGATCACACGTATAAAAGCCTCTGAGTTGCCTGGCTTCGGGGGTGGGGTGGAGGGTGCTGGTGCTAATTGGCGGGAGCTGTCTCCTTCATCAGCTGCTTCCCGGGAAGCCGGTGCTCGGGGCAGCTGTGTGGCCTGGGCCAGCCAGCCACGGGGTCGGGGGACGGGGCTGGGAGCGGCAGCCACTGCCAGCTGCTCGCTGATCCCTAGGTACTGGCGTTGGCCCCAGGTCAGTGGTGAATGCCCAGTATTCTCCACTATGACAGGCTGGGAGAGACTGAGCCCCTTCTCCCAAGTCAGGAGCAAGGTTACACAGGACAGAGCAGACCTCTGACCCCCCTCTAGCTCCGGGGCTGTTGTGCAGCGCCCGCCTGTTCATCATCATCCTCTGAAAACATTGATTTAGAGAAGGTGAGGTAAACCCTAGACAAGGGAACCGCGGAGGCAGCGTACAGGGAGAAGGCCACTGGGCTCGCCCGGATGGCTCCCGGGCTGGAAGCTCCATCCACGGCTCGGTTGGCACGGGCAGCCTGGCCCCTCTTCACCTCGGCGTCCCGTCAGTAAGCCTGGGATGGGGACTTCTACCTCTCAGGGCTGCGAGGCTCCAGCAGGGTGGCGGGCGTATGGTTGTAGTGCCGATGCAGAGTGGGTTCAGGGAAGCGCTGGTCGGAGGCCTCCTGACTTGCCCGGGAAGAGCCCAGACTCCAGGACTCGCCATGCTGGGCCGTGTCTGCAGTCAGACAGGCGGGCTCTGGGCTCCGCTGTGAGCCTGAGCTTTGCCCTGAGTGATTGGAGCTCCATCTTCCCTTGCAGAGGGGGCCATTTTAAACGAGAAGAGCTTCCAGGGTGCTTTGGAGTTCAAGAACGTGCATTTCGCCTATCCAGCTCGCCCAGAGGTGCCCATATTCCAGGATTTCAGCCTTTCTATCCCAGCAGGATCCATCACAGCGCTGGTTGGCCCAAGTGGTTCTGGCAAATCAACAGTGATTTCTCTCCTGCTGAGGTTGTACGACGCCAGCGCTGGTGAGTGGCTGAGCACATTGTAGGACGAGAGGCCTCTCCTGGGCCCCCAGAGAGGGTCAGGTTACACAGGGGCCGTGCAGTGCGCGAGTTCTGAACACAGAGGGTTTGTTCCCAGCAAGGAAGTCCCAAACAGAGGATTCACTTTTCGGGCTATGGCAGCTCACACAGAGGGCCCATCAGGCACGTTGTATCTTGTGTTCGCCACTCAGGTCCAGAGTGACTTCCTGAACCCCACCTCCTCGTCTCCCGTGTGGTGCTTCCTCCACCGGGAGAGGGGCTCCAAGAAGGTGCCTCGGGGCTGCTGAGCACCACCGGCCACGGCAGCACCATGAGTACGTGCCACTCTGTGCCGGCCCTGAGCTTGTGCAGGAGCCCGGGCTCTCCCTGAAGCCCTCCAGTCCTCCTGCCTGGGGCTGGTGTGCAGACAGGGCATGTGGCCGTCACTGATTCACTTCTGGGCCGCTGCTCCATTGAAGCTTTCTTGCGGTAGTAGAGATTTTCTTACAGACTTTTCTCATTCAGATTTTTTTTTTTTAATTTTTAACTGGATTATAGCAGCTTTCAGAGCAAAGAACACATTATTTTACTTCTTTATATCTTTTTAAAATATACAGTTGACCTACAACATATTAGTTTCAGGTGTAGAGCATAATGATTCCATATATGTATATACTGTGAAATGATCACCACAGCGTGTCGAGTTAACATCCATCACCACACACAGTTACAGAGTTGATATCCTTCTTTGTATCAGAGCTCGGAGAAGATAGTCTGTTTTTGGATTAAGAAAACAATGATGGGGACTTCCCTGGTGGTCCAGTGGCTAAGACTCTGCGCTCCCAATGCAGAGGGCCCAGGTTCGATCCCTGGTCAGGGAACTAGATTGCACAGGCATGCCGCAACTGAGAGTCCGCATGCCGCAACTAAGACCCAACGCAGCCAAAGTAAAATTAAATAAATATTAAAAAAAAAAAAGAATGGTATTTCTCAGCAAGAAAACAATTGTCAGTATAAAATAAAACCGTGAATTTGAAGAGTATGTCTTATGGTCTTTTTGGTTACAACAGTGTGAGCTGGTTATGTGCCAGGTAATTATCTGACTCACAGGTCCTGACCACAGAACCACCAAGTGCATTAAAATGGGTATTACTACACTGTTGGCCTCTGGCATCACTGCCTTGGTTTACCCTCTACTTGCTGTAAAATTCTGAGTTGAGAAAAATCCTAGTGAGTGGGATGCAAATCAAGTCAAAACACTAAGTCTCTGGTTTCTTCACGACGGTGAGTAGATCAAGGAGAAAAGCAACCACACTTACATTCCTGCCTTGTGTAGCCTATAGAACACTTACACTTTTTAAGTCAAGACTTCAGGTTTTGGTAGGTTTATGAAAGTTCACAGCTGGCTTGTATAATGCCACACACCTAACTGAGAAGGAATGGGATTTCTTGTGTTGGTCACTGTCATTGTCATCGGGAAGCATGATTGCGTTCCCTCAAGGTGTAGAGGTAATTCTGTCAGCTGAGGTCACAGCGTTACATCTGACTGTTGAAACACTCTGCCACCGTGTCAGAGTGTTAGTTGCAGACAGCAGACTCTCCAGCTGTGCTTACTCGGGAAGGCGAGCTGGATGGATGAGCTAGGTGGGCTTAGTCATCTAACCACTGCAGGGAGATAGTAGGCATGGACAATCCAGAAAAGTCCCTTTTAGCTCTGAAGTTCCCTAAAATACGTTGGTTTTAGATTCTGTTTGGAGATTTTGAGTATCTGATCTTTAAAAAACTGAGTCTAGAATTTTCACACCAGAGCCTTTCTGGGTTTACATGAGTCATTGGCCCCATGACACTCAGTGACTCTCCTTCTTCTCTGCAAGGAACGATCAGTCTTGATGGCCGTGACATCCGTCAGCTAAATCCAGTCTGGCTGAGATCCAAGATTGGGACAGTGAGTCAGGTAGGAGGAGAGGGCTCCATTTTTATTACATTTTCTTTTAAAATTGCTTTTGTCATTTGCTTTTTTCTTGGTCTTGAACCTTTCAAAAGAAAAGGAATGGAAGTTTTCTAGATGTATGAAACCAGTCTCCAGGGCAGGTTGTTTAGGTTTGTAAATAGTGCTGTTTCATGAAGACCTTAAACATTTTAACCACTCGAAGCATTGACTTTATCAGAAGCTGGGGACTGGCATTACTTTGTAATGCAGATAGTCTAGAAGATTGGGGAGAAAAAGATACAACTGTTTAGCTGCTTCTGGCTCTTCCTCAATTCTCATTTTCATTGCTAGCCAGTCTACTGTTTTGCATAATGGGTTTCAGAGACAAGCAAGCAAAGGCTGTGGCCAGAGCCAGGGTCTCCTTGCAAAGAGGCTGCAGATTTCAAGAACCTTGATGGAATGCGGTGTCTTTGATGAGGCTGTTTTCACAGGACCACTCGGTGCAGGGGAGTTTTGACACAGCTATTGGTATTTTTATCACCAAGCTTCGTGCACAGCAGGCAAACCCAAGCACCCCGACTGCTGAGCCTCTTCCTCTAATGAGGCTTCCCTCAGCACCACTCCATTGGTGGGGGGCAGCGACGGGGGGCTTGGCTCGGTGGTGCAAGGGTAACGGCAGTGCCACAGCCTTATTAGGGAGGGAGAAAGAAGCTGGGAGTTCATTTGCTTTTTAGCACTATTCCACAGAATAGCTCTGTCCAAATGCCACGTTCCCTTCTGCTCTGTGTGTATATCAAAAAGTGATAGAAATGGATTCTCCCATTGCCCTTGGAAGGCAGGCAGCTGGAGAATGCAGACGGGCTCGGGGTCCTCCTCGGGGAGGGGGACTTGCGTTTACAGAGCGCCTGCTGTGTGCTGGACGCTTGCAGGTGGCTACTGTGGGACCCCGTGTCCTGCAGTGGGGGACCTACAGGTGATAAAGGCAGTCCTGCTCGTGCTAATGCATGAATTTTTTAATCGCCCATGGGGTATATTTATGGAGAATGAACCAGAAAAACAGTATATATTCTCTGGGAACCGTTTAGTGTCTTAGCTGTAAGTATTGTACTAAGCTCCACTGTATTTACTAGACTGTTGCAATTTGCAATAAATACGTTTTATTTCCAATGTGTAGGAACCAATTTTGTTTTCTTGCTCAATTGCGGAGAACATTGCCTATGGTGCAGACGACCCTTCCTCGGTGACGGCTGAGCAGGTAGAGAAAGTGGCTGGTGTAGCCAATGCAGCTGCTTTCATCCGACATTTCCCTCAAGGGTTCAACACTGTGGTCGGAGAAAAGGGTGTTCTCCTCTCAGGTACCTTTTTGTTACCCCTTTGCAGCAAACACTCTCTAAACACTTCCTGTCGCAGTGTTATTTTCTAATTAGGCTCTTGTCCTTAGAGTTTATGAAATTAACCTTTTTCGTTTTCTCACATCTCTTTTGTATGTGGACAACTCCCCAGTTCCTTTCACTTTCTACCCCAGACATGTTTCCAGATTCCCACTGGTGTCCCACTGGGTAGTACTCAGCCACAGCAGCTTTCTCTCATCCCAGAAAAGATACGTTTTGTAACTCGAGATCCTTGAAAATTGTAGAAAATAAGACAGATACCGCGGATGGCAGGATGATTTGTCCAGGGAGGCAGAGACTGCATCAGGGCAGACGTGCAGCTGAAGGGGCTCCTTATTCCTCACCTCGTAGGTTATGTGTAGACCCAGGACTTACAGACTTTTCTGTAAAGGACCAGAGAGTAGATGATGTAGGTTTGTGCGTCACACGTGGTCTCTGTCACAGTCTTATTACTATTTTTTAACGACTCCTTTAAAACATAAAAAGCATTCTCAGCGTGAGGCTGTGCACGGACAGGCCCTGGTCCAGACCTAGCCCAGGTGGAGTCCGCTCTGCCCCATCCTGGACGAATGGGGGCTCGCAGGGCTGTGGCACCATCTGGCCCATGGTATCGGCTCACCCCGCAGGTCAGATCGCCTTTGGGGGCGGTGTTTCCAGGAGGGAAAGAGAAAACAGTTCTATTGCTTTCAAATACAGAAGTGGGACCAATGAATAGAGGAGTAAATCTTTGGTGAAACAGATTTTTTTTTTTAATTACAAATATTCAACTGTACTTCCTTTCACGACGAGCTCTGTCACGGGATGTGTGCGAGCAGGGGGTAGAGGCCTCCACGTCAGAGTGAAGCTGCCGGGTTGGGTGGGGGCAGGAGTCCTTCCAGTGCTAAACCGTTTGCTTGAACTTAGACTGCAGACAGTTTAACACAAAAACGTTTTAAGTTTGTTGTGTATGATTTGTTTCAATGATAGGCAGTAGATGAAAAAATATTTTTTGATAGATTGGGGAAGTTCCGGGGTTTTGATAGATTGGAGAAGTTCCGGGAGTAGAACCACTACTGTGTCGCTGGAACAGACGTGTCCTTGGGCAGGACTCCAGTGTAAGCTGCTGGTGGTGAAATTACCGAGATGGAGGGGTGGGGTTGGGAGCTACCTGTGCTCTGTCCCATGAGCACAGCACCTGCTCGCTTTGAACAGGTGCTGCATGTCCTTCCCTTCGACCAGGACGCTCAAGCTCCATCTCCAGTGAAGTAACCGGAGGTCACGGTCTACCCTGGAGGAAGGCCCCCCGTGTGCGCATTGGCACTGGGGTCTTCAGAGCTGACCAGAGCCCTTGCTGGCCGCTCTGCTGACCCACACCAAGCACTCAGACCCCCACCAACCCGAGAACTGGGAAAGGAAGGGCTTTTCCTCCTTCGCTCCTCGTGAGGGTGGGGTTGCCTGGCTGGGGACAGCTTTAGCAGCACCGCCCATTTCAGTTTAAGTGATTAACTTGTCTCAGATGGAATAATAAGTAGGTTCAGCCAGTAACATCAACCAAAAAGGAATGTCTTCGTCACCAAAAGTGGAATTGAGTTTCCTAACATGAACTAAGTTGGGAGGAGTGAGTTGAGTCCTGCGCTGAGACTTCACCAGTTATAACTTAGGAGAGCGTCCCTGGGGGGAAGGAGAGGGTGGGGTGCAACAGGGGTGAGGAGGGGAAGTATCATCTGGCCGTCCCTCCCCCTTCCCCCACACCACCCCCTGGCGTTTAGTCGAATTTGAGTTTTACAAAGGGGGCTGGCTAGCATGGCATAGTCTATCTGTTGCCCCCATTTTCATACACGCACAAAGTACCGCGTGTGTCGGTTGTTCCCTGGGGCAGGAAAAAGAAAACAGCGTGAGAGTGGAAGTATGGAGTAGTGTTCTGGGCGGACAGTGGAGTTACCAGTCCCAGCTCCTTTCGCTCCTGTCCATCTCACGTACTGCTCTGAAACCTCTAACTTCCTCGAGTTTCCCGTTCGTTTCCTGCTACGAGAGGTGCCCTCTTGCGGGGCACGGCACGTGTGGTTAAAAGCGCACAGCACTGTTCAGACCTCGGCTCTGCCACTGACCAGCTGTGAGGCCTCTCACAGGATATTGTGCCTCAGCTTTTCACCTGTAAAAAGAGAATCATTATAGGATCTACTTCAAAGGCTTGTTTTTGAGATGAAATGAAATAATACATGTAATGCATTTAGGAAATGCCTGGGACGTAGGAATTCCTCAATGTTAGCCATGATAATAATTATTGTTATTATTAATCTTGAGATAGATGAGGAAACATTATAATATTTAAAACGTAGGTTTCTGTTCTCGCATCTATCTCAACTATGACTGGGAGAAACTACCTTCAAATTGCCACATGGCTCATCAGAAAAGCCTGTTACCAAGAATTTTTGTTAAGGCATTCAATTTTAAAATGTATATATTGTCATTGTCAGGTGGGCAGAAACAGCGAATTGCAATTGCCCGTGCTCTGCTTAAGGTAAGCCGGAAGCCTCTCGGCGGGGGTTGGCATTGTTCTTAATCAGGGACCTTGTAATTTGTAATGTGCAACTTTTCTTCTTCTTCCTTTTTCTTGGGAAGGGGCGGGTGGGTATATGGTTGACAGTTCTGGTGAAAGATGAGTTGGGAATTCCACTGAGTACCTGTGGTCCAAATTTAGCAAGTGTTTCCTGAGTATTAGGAGCCAGAGGGAGAACAGTTTAACACACGGATCTTCCATCAAGAAGCATACAGAATATTTTAAAACAAGAATGTCTCTATGTGTGTAACTGAGTCACTTTGCTGTGCAGCAGAGCACAGCATGGTACATCAACTACACTTCAGTACAAAAAAATAATAAAATTAAGCATACAGTCTAACTGGTAGAGTAGTGATTATATCAAAATACCAAAATAATACAAGTATGCTTACTTGTGTAATCTGTAATCACCTGCTAAACTGAATAGTACAGACTTGAAATACTTATACAAGGCTCCTAAGAGGAGAGGGAAAAGCTGAAAGTCATAGACATTGTATTTTTTAGGAAATGATGGCCTTCTCCTTTGTTATATAACTATTCTCCTCAGATTTATAGGTGATTTTTTTAAAAAAAAAAACAGCTTTATTGAAGCATGATTTACATATCATAAAATTGACCAGTTTTAAATGTACTTTTCAGTGACTTTTAGTAAATTTACAGAGTTGTGCGCCCATCACACAATCCAATTTTAGAACATTTTTATCACCCTGATACCCTTTTGCAACCTTTCTGCCTTCCCAGCCCCAGCCCGCCACTAATCTACTTTCTGTTTGTCTAGATTTGCCTTTCTGGACATTTCAGATAAATGGAATCAGACAAGATACAGTCTTCTGCTTCTAGCCTCTTTCAGTAGTATAGTTTTTGGGGCTCCTCCATGTTGTAGCCTATATCAGTACTTTATTCCTTTCCATTCCTTTGTATGGACAGACCACAATTTATCACCCAAGTGTTAATGAACTTCTGGATTGTTTCCGGTTTAGGGCTGTTGTGAATAGCACTGCTCCGAATGAACAGTGTACAAGCTTTTGTGTGGGCGTGTTTTCATTTCTTACGGACGGATTCCTAGACAAAGCTAGAATTTATGTGTTTCTCAGTTCTGTGTGTACTACTCCTAGCTAAACTACAAGCAGGACCTTGAGAGTCTAGACTCCATCTGACTCACCTTAGAGCCCCACTTCGTACTGTTGGTTGATTCACCAGCAGGTTAAAGCTGCACTATGAAGAATATCCGATTCAGTGATCACTGTGATCATGGTTTTTGTGTGAGATCATGCGATCTCAGACACTTACGAGTTTGTTTTTCTTCTTTTGTAGCAGCTTTATTGTGATAGAATTCACACACTCTACAGTTCACCCATGGAAAGCGTGCAGTTCAGTGTTAGCGTATTCAGAGTTGTGCCTCCATCACCATAATCAATTTTAGAACATTTTCATCACCCCCAAAATAGCATCCACACACCACCCTGCCTATTTCCCCATTGACCCCAGTCCCAGGTAACGACTCTGCCCCTGCAGAGCTGCCTGTTGTGGACATTTCCTCTAAGTGGAATCGCACACGAGGTGGACTTCTGTGTCTGGTTCCTCTCGCTCAGCAGAGTGTTTTCAAGGGTCATCCATGTTGTATCACGTATCAGCACTTTATTTCGTTTTATTACTGAGAGTTTGTGTTTTTCTAATAAAATTATGTTTTCTTTTCCTTTTACTGTTTTTCCTTCTTCAGAATCCCAGAATTCTTCTCCTAGATGAAGCAACCAGGTGAGGCTATCTTAATGTGTAATTGGATTAAACCAAATTCTTCCTCTATCACAAACTTTTATTCTGTACTTCAAGTGATACGGCTGAGAATGCCTTACACTTTAAAGTTACGGGGTCTGAATTAATCATGACAGTTGGGAGGCAGTGAGCAGGCCAAGTCATGAGTTGAGGGTTCTAGTTTCAATTCAGACATTTGTGGTGAATCCCTGATCACCAATCAGCAACTGTGCAAAATGCTTTTAACTTACATGGCAGTAGTTCTATGGAGATCAAGGGTCCAAAGCTTCTTTTTTTTATAGTAACTTTATAATATAAAATATAGATAGTTGACCCAAGAAGTTGCAATTTTGATCAGAGTGAAAATTGGCTGCTAATGAGGGGCCAGTGTACGTGCACCAGGAAATACACGCGTGAACAGTGTGCGTGGCCCTGACGTCTTTGCTTTCCTGTGGGCTCTCCTATTCAGTGCACTGGATGCTGAAAACGAGTACCTCGTTCAGCAAGCTCTGGATCGACTGATGGAAGGAAGGACGGTGTTCATCATCGCCCATCGTCTGTCCACCATTAAGAATGCCAATATGGTAGCTGTCCTCGACCGGGGGAAGATCACCGAGTGTGGGAAACACGAAGAACTGCTTTCGAAACCAGACGGGATATACAGGAAATTAATGAATAAACAGAGTTTTATTTCAGCATAAAGAAGCAATTATTGGTAAACTTAATATGAGACACTTTAAATCAAAGCAGCACTGCAGGAAAAACATTTTTTAAAAACCCAGGCTGTATGAAATCTGTAAATCATACTTCAAGCTATTTGAAATCTGCCTATTTTTTCCAAAGATTGTAAAATACTGTTTTGAGATCGACCTGTTCTCAAGACCTTTTTATTCAGAGTTTTAATAATTGTAACTTTCTAAATGTCTAGTTCACTGAAGTTATTTTCAGGTTTTGTACTTTTATCTTGGAATATTTTGATTAATATAGCCTGGCACCTCATTTTCTTTTATCTGCTGTTATAAATTGAAGCTATTGTCAAATGACAACTTTTAAAAGGGAATTATAAATAAAGAGCCTAATTATTTTAGGCCACTTTACCAATCACTGTGTAATCTCTTGGTAGTACTCTACCTACTTTGGGTATCATTGTACCAGGTAGCATAACAGAAGGTGAAAATGTAACCCTTTATTTTATCCTGATAATCTCATAAAGCAAACCTGACATATATATATATATATGTATCTATATATATGTGTGTATATATATATGTATATATATGTGTGTGTATATATATATATATATATATATATACACACACACACACACACACACACACACACAAATAGTTAACATCACATGGCAAGGGGGGATCATGTATGTTCCCCATCTCCTCTCTTCAGAGGTGTGAAAGTTCAGGGACATGTGTTCCTCTGGGCTGAGACTGTGTTTGGATGTGTGTATTTTCAACATTTTTGGCACATAAGAACCTGATGAGTTGTGAAAAGGGAAGAGGCCCCATCCTTTGAATATGAGAACTTCTGATTTCATTATTTACATATTTGTTTCTGTGAATTTGGGAAGCCAGGTATTATCAAGAAGGATGTAAAAATGAATTTTACACTTATGTTGTCTGAGGCATGTATCTTGAAAATTATCTTTTAAGAGTTTATAATTCCTAGCCAAATTTTACAGCTTTTTATCAGTTACTTAGTTTTGACATTTCATTCAATGAGGCTAAATTCCAAAATTATTAATATAACTGTAATGTTCAACCTTAAAACATTTGAAGGAAACTTATACGTTCTTGCTATTCTGCAGAAGATCAAGAAAGCTTAAGAGCTTTTCACTCTTCTGAAAAGAGGACATAACTAACCATCTTTCTTTTATTTGTGGTTATAGTTTTATTCACCTAAATTTCTGAAAATTCCTCAAGCAATGCTGACGCCATTGGATTTGTCGTATTTCATATCGGCACCATTAATTTGCTGTTGCCTCAAGAAAAAGTGCTTTTCTACATTGATAATGCCAGAACCTAAGAAGTGACAATGTTGATGTGATTAAAATGGACGTTTCCTCGTGTCCTAAGTATTGATTAGTTTCCTGATTATACTGGAAGAAACCACTATTTCACGATAAGCATGGAGTATTACATTTATTCTACGTAAGGGAATTTATTAATGAATAAAATGAGTTCAGTGAATGAATGAACTCAGTGTTCTTTGAATTAGTAAACAGTACATCTGTGACAGTAATTTTAACAAGCTTTACTTGTTTTCTTCATGGTTTACTACTATGGTATAGTTCTCAGAAAGATACAATCACAAGGTTGGATCTGAGGGAAATCTCTTTGTGCCATAGAAATATTTACAAAATTGAATTTGATCATTACATTTTATTTTCTTATACAATGTGTTAATTGTGTCTTGGGTAACATTTTATGTCATGGATTAAAATTCAAGCACATTACATTTATTGTGCACTTTATTTCTATTATTATTACAGATGCAGCTTGTCACTTGCCACTCACTGATAGGGTTTTGATATGAGTCTGCAAGCAGTTGATTTACTATGCAGTCAAACCGCTCTGCTAAGGATAATCTGTATCTGCAGCCACTCCCCAGCGCTAGCATCACCACCTCAGCTCCACCTCAGATCACCAGGCATTAGATTCTCATAAGGAGTGTGCAACCTAGATCCCTCGCATGCGCAGTAGGGTTCGCACTCCTGTGAGAATCTAATGCTGCCGCTGATCTGACAGGAGGCGGAGCTCAGGTGGTAATGCGAGCGATGGGGAGCGGCTGTAAATACAGATGGAGCTTCGCTCTCTCACCCACCCTTCACCTCCTGCTGTGCGGCCTGGTTCCTCCGTGGCCTGGGGTTGGGGACCGCTGATCTAGAAGATAAGCAAAAAGAAGTTTAAATCACATGAAAGTCTCCACGTGAAGATAAAATGTCCCATCAGTGAGCTTAGTGTTCTGTGGTCTGCTCTCCCAGGCTCCTCTCTGTGTAAGGTCTCTGACCTTGGACCTGACTGGTTCCCAGGAAATAATCACAAATTAAACCACTATAGGCCATACCCTGTATATGTACTTTTATAAAGTAGGGCTCCACTTAGGGAAGTCCATTTTATTCCATAAAAGTGCCAAAGCTGTTAGAAAATAAGTGAAAACAAATGTAAATGTTGTAAAACATTAAGTATATTAATGAAAGAAGTATATGGAAACTGCATTGTAAATGTTCGTTTGAGGGTGTTTGTTTTTCTCCGTTTTTACATCTGAGGCATCATGGAGCTTAGCTGGTAATCGCCATTCAACCCATTCAGTAAACATTTATGGAGCATCTTCTATTTTGTTAGGTCCTGTGCTAGGTGCTGGCTGCACCTCCCTCATGAGGCTGGCACAGGGGTCCACAAGCTGTGACCTGCTACCTGTTTTGTATGGCCTGCAAAGCTAAGGATGGTTTTTACAGTTTTAAATGGTTAAAAAAAATTCATAATACATGAAAGGTATATGAAATCCAAATTTCAGTGTCCATAAGTAGAATTTTATTGGAACACAGCCATACTCAGGGCAACAGACAGCAAGCTGGAGATTCTTCCTCTCTGGCCCTTGACAGTAAAAGTTTGCAGCCTCCAGCACTGGGGAAAACAACACACATTCTTCACTGCTTGAAGGATGTTTAAACTATGCTGAAATTTAGAGTTATCTCAAGAAGTTCCATTGCCACTAGATGGGGGCCTTGGAAATGACTAGGCCTGGATAATTTCCATGATGAGTTCTTCATTGCACCCCTGCCTTTCCATTTGAAGAGGATCATAATTTCTGTGTTGCTGAGAATGGAATTCTGATAGTTCTACCACATCTGCAGGAAATAATCCTGGCTGCTTCCCTGTTGTTGACCGCAGGGATGAGTCCCACATCAATCAGTGTGGTCGTAACAGAATGGGCTGAGTTTTAGGAAGGTTGGACAGAGGGAGGCACACCTAGGCTGAGAATCTTACACACACACATGCTGCACTTGTGGGGTATTTTTCTTTTTATCTTAATGAAACAAAAATGGGCTTATATTGGACATACTAATTTTTAACCAAACTTTTTTTTTTTTTTTTTTACCGGTATGCGGGCCTCTCACTGTTGTGGCCTCTCCCGTTGCAGAGCACAGGCTCTGGACGCGCAGGCTCAGCGGCCATGGCTCACGGGCCCAGCCGCTCCGCGGCATGTGGGATCCTCCCGGACCGGGGCACAAACCCATGTCCCCTGCATCGGCAGGCGGACTCTCAACCACCGTGCCACCAGGGAAGCCCACCAAACTGCTTTTTTTATTTGATAATATCTTCCCACATCTGCAAGTATTCATTACACACATCCACATGTATTCTTTTTAACCATATAGCATTCTATAATGTGAATATGCTAGAAATCTATTGTTGGACATTTACTTGCTGTATTCTTTGCTGTCATAAACAACATTACCTATATATCTTTGTTTTGATTTCTTTGATTTTTTCAGACAAATTTCTAAAAGTGAAATGGCCGAGTTTAAAGAGCATATGCAAATTATAAGGCTTTTTGATAGACTGTCCTAATAAAAGACTACTAATTCATAATCCCACCGGGAGGCTATACAGTAGGACCTCTTTCTCCACAGCCTTTTCAACATGAGCTATTTTCTTTTTCTTTTCTTTTTTTTTGCGGTATGCGGGCCTCTCACTGTTGTGGCCTCTCCCATTGCAGAGCACAGGCTCCGGACATGCAGGCTCAGCGGCCATGGCTCACGGGCCCAGCCGCTCCACAGCATGTGGGATCTTCCCGGACCGGGGCACGAACCCGTGTCCCCTGCATCGGCAGGCGGACTCTCAACCACTGCGCCACCAGGGAAGCCCGCTATTTTCATTTTTTAAAACATTCCTGCTGGTTCAACAGGCAAACAGTGCTGATGGGTGGTTTAACTTGCATTTCTTTAATTAGTAGTGAAGTTTAAGACTTTTTCATGTGTTTTTTGTCATTTTTAGTCTTTGATTTAGTGCTACTTCATGCCCTTCATACATTTCCATTTTTTTCTATTGGGGTAGCTTACTTTCTCTTACTGATTTTCTTTAAAGTTTACTATTTTATTATAAATATTTTTCCTTCAGATTTTTTGTGTTTTTTGACGTCCACAAATGTAATGGTGTCTCTGTTATCTAATTCTCACAAGTGGGCACTATTAGCAGTTTATCAGAGGCTCAAAAAGGTGACACAGATAGTAGACAGCAGAGGCGGGATCTGAAACAAGTCCCATTTAATTCCAGAGTCTATACACTCTTGTCAGTTACTACACAGTAGTTAGCAAACTGTCCCAAGACAGCTGTCTCAATAACACTTGGAATAAAGACACAGACCTACTAGAGAACGGACTTGAGGCTATGGGGAGGGGGAAGGGTGAGCTGTGACAAAGCGAGAGAGAGTCATGGACATATACACACTACCAAACGTAAGGGAGATAGCTAGTGGGAAGCAGCCGCATAGCACAGGGAGATCAGCTCGGTGCTTTGTGACCACCTGGAGGGGTGGGATAGGGAGGGTGGGAGACGCAAGAGGGGGGAGATATGGGAACATATGTATATATATAACTGATTCACTTTGTTATAAAGCAGAAACTAACACACCATTGTAAAGCAATTATACCCCAATAAAGATGTTAAAAAAATAAATAACACTTGGGAGTGCAAATTGTTAGAAATGCAGACTCTCAAGCCTCAGCCCAACGAGTCAGACACCGAGATGGGGCTCAGCCGTGTAGCTTAGCCAGCCCTCCAGGTGCTGCTGGTGCCCACTTAGGCTGGAGAGCCACTGCACTACACTACCCTTCATTCTGGATTTCCAGAGTAAGTGGCTGCACTAGATTAAATGAGGTAGAAGGATAAACAGGGAAATGGCAGCACTGGGGAGGGATAGAGAAGCCCTCGGCTGCCCCAAGGTGTATGTGATGTCTTCTGTTCCACGTGCCTTCTCCACTCTATCCTCTGGGAGGCCGGCCTCCACAGACTGTCCTCGTATCCTCCTCCCTCACACCCTGGCCTCCCTGCACTGAGGTCACAGTACGAACACTCCCAGTCCCCTTC